GCCTCCTTCTCTTTCTAAAGGCGGGGTATCTATATCTTATGGAACAAATTCTCTGTTCGTAAGATATAGGAAAAAAATCACAATTAACTGTTCTCAGATCTCATAAAGGATGCAATACTTGTGTACACAGAGAGTTGGTTCTTGCAAACTATCCCTTATAACTAGACAATTTAGATAATCTATTTCAAGCACCTGCATCCAGTTTCTGAACATGACGGAAGCTGGAGCTCTGATTAAACTATCCTCCACATTAAGGGCACTCGTATGCCAACTGAGGGAAGCATGTTCCTCCGAAGCTGATCATTTGTCTTCATCATCTTTGACCATCCTTGAGTGCCTTGACAGGAATCTCTGTTTGGAAGATAATAGGAACTACGATTACTGAGAGAGAATCTAATGTATCATCAGCCCTGTGGGAGCAATTTGTATTCATTAATGCTCTCACAAATTAACTTTTCCTGATTAATATGTGAGTGTGATAGGCACAGGGGCTGTCCTGCTTGAGTTGCTTTGATAAATCAGCTTTGGCTGTCATCAAAGGCTAATTGAATGTTAGCCTCACATCTCTTGTCCTTTCACAGTGTACTTTCATGCTGACTGCCAGAAGCAGGTCAGGGAAGAAGCTTGCCTTTTGTAGCATGGAATTAAAATGCTCTTTACCTCAAGGACCAGGTACTGTACATCAATGCCAACATGTAAGTTTTTGTTTAAACAATGCTCCACTTTACCAGCCCCATCATTCCATTCAAGAAACAAAACCCTTTGGTTTTAAGGTGGCATTGCAATATGTTTCCAAGTTCCATTCATTTTTCAGAAACTAAGGTAATTAGAAAATAAAATACAATAAACCTGGTAACCATATCTTTATTACAATGTTCAAAGTTATAAATATTGGGCACATAAGCTCTTTCCCCCAGGAGCCGTAATGCTCAGATTCCCAGGTTCATTAAAAATAAAAGCAAGTAGCTCCTAACTAGTTGTTTTTCTAGCTAAGCCCTAGGTTTTCTAGGACCAAACAGTGCCTCTAAAACATCTGATAACATCTGAACATCTGATAAGTTTATCTGACACTAAGATGGCAGAATAAATATTATTTGTTTATTTTCTTCTTTTTTTAAAAAAAACCCTCTTCCATATTATAATTTTTTATTATAATGGCCCAGCTGATGAGAACAAGCCTTTACTACTCAACCTCAGGATCAGTGAGAAGATATGTTCAGCTGCTGCATAATGTCCCGATTTGTTACTTAGACCCAAGACTTTAGAGATGGAGCAATGTTCTTGACTGGACAAAGTGATCCTCAGTCCCCCAAAGAGAGGGGACTGACTGGCTCTCACAGAATCATAGAACATGGAGGTCAGAAAGGACCAACAGGATCCCTGAGTAACTGCTGTCTGGCCTCCATGTAAACATCACTAGCAAAGAAGAATCCACCATCTCCAGAGGTAATTTGCTCCTTTGTTGAATCACTATTACCATTAGAAAATGTTTCCTGGGTCTACCTTCAGTTATCCTCTACATTAAACTAAACTGAGGTTACTTGCTCAAGAGAATAAGAAGAGGACTAGCAGCTGGGAAAAAAAGAGGAAAAAAAGAGGATATGTGTAATAATATCCAAGCAAGAGACTCAGGAGATCTCTCTCCAGCTATCCCCTCTGCAACAAACTGAAACTCAAGATACAAGCAGAGAGTAATTAAGTGGTTCGGTAAAACTGACTATATTGATGTTAATTAGAATTCTCTGTACAGTATGTGATTGTTGTCTTTTCTTGTATTCCCCTTTTTATATCTATGGATTTGGCTTCATTGGCTTAAAAGGAGGGATTTCTTATTATAAATGCAAGACTGCACAGTTCATGCCTTCTCTCTACTCTGTATTTCCAGGCTACAAACAGGAAAAGTCAAACCATCTTCTTTTCTCTCTTTTCTCTAGAACTGCTTTGAAAAGAGAAGTCCTGAGCAGAAGCACTAAGAACTGCATTCCCCCCACCCCCCACCCCCAGGCTGGATAGATTACATGCCATGGGGGGCCATGGGGGAGCAAGGGGGAACAAGTGATAAAACAAGAGTGCAACATTGCAACTCAGCCTCTGCCCCTTTTGTGCATGCATCAGGACAATGCTCAATTGGTCT